GAATCTTCTTACTACCTGGCCTCAGATACTCACTGGTGAGACAATCATCTCTAATATATGAGATACAGGGAGGTGAAGGCAAAGGGTTTGAAATACAAATGGGCACCACCCAACACAAACAACCTTCAAACATCTGGTGAATACAGGATCATCTGACTCCATCCATCTCCATCCCTATCATCCTCTTCTGTCACACCAACCCTCTGTATGTGCTTCTTCTTCACTACATCCATGAATCTTCTCTGTGGTCCTTTTCTTCCTCCTGCCTAACAGCTCCATCTTCAACATCCTTTGTTATCGACTATCCCTCCTCTGCACATGTCCAAACCATCTCAGCCTTGTGTCTCTGACTTTGTTTTCAAACAGCTCAACCTGAGCCGTCCCTCTGATGGACTCATTTCTAATCCTGTCCATTCTGCTCACTCCCAGTGAAAATCTTCAGCTCGGCCTCCTGTCTTTTTGTAAGTGCCATCGTCTGCAAACCGTACAGCTGTAGTGATTGTCACCTCTCTTCTCAACTTCGCTTCAACAACCCATAGTTTCCCATAGTTATTCCCTGTCCTTTATTTTTTCTATCTCAGTACCTCAACAGATATGTCATCTGGGTCTGCCTTTCAACTCTTCATCCTAAATGCTCCCTCAGTGTGGAAACTATTTACTGTTTTAATCAAATGAACAGTCTTAATGTTTCTGTACTACACCCAGCATGCTAACATCCAATCACACACACAAAGGTCTACCCTAATATCCTCTTCACCTTTTGTATTTGAATCATAACATCATGAATGAACAGAAAAACCAGATCATCATGAATTAATTGAAGTGTAGTTTAGCTGCATTTGGGAGATTTTTTTTCTTTCTCTGAACCAGCAGATGGTGTATCGCTCGCTGAGCTTTGAAGGATTTCTTTTCTATCTGTCAACTGCCATATTTGTTGCATTCATAGCTGCCTACACCAGAGAAACCTGGCAGAGCAGATTTCCTGTTGAGGAATTCCACTTTTCTTCTATTCAAAACTCTGATGGATTAAAAATGATTCTGCTTCTGAGTTTTTGGATTGTCACAGGTAAGGTGAATATAATAGCTTTTTATTAGCTAATTTCAACCTTAATCTATTTATTATTTATTTGAATCACTTTTTTTAAGATATGTATCAGAGATTTCATTAGGAAAATAACTGTCACTGTGATGATTAAAGCAAAGTTTAATAAGTGAAATGAAATGTTTGGGTTTTTTTTTTTGATGATGTAATAAAAATAATTACTGTCAGCCTAATGTGGCAAAACAAAAGATATCAAAGTGATTTCCTTTATCGTACACCTGCTTCAATATATGTATTGTATTCATGGTGTGATTTTAAGGTGTTTTAATGTGTTTTTAAGGTCTCATGGCAGCGGACCCAACAGCGACATATTATCGACTGAAAAACAGCTCAGTGTGTCTGAATGTCAGGAAACCGCCACCATATAAACGTGGTGAATGGAAATTTAACACAATAATTATTGTTGATGGTACAGACATCAATCCAATATACAAAGAGAGAGTGGTTTATAGTGCTGGAAACCTCTCCCTTTGTATTAATAACCTGGCTGATACAGACACTGGCATATATGAAGTCTCATACAGCCAAAACTTTCTTTCAGTGTCAGAGAAACATCAAGTCATTGTTCAGGGTAAGTTATAAGAAGAACTTTGTCTTTAGCCTATTTTACATATTATATTTTTCTGGATTTGGTTGCATTTGTCTTACAGTCAGCTCTTACATTTCCTTGGCTGAAGGGTTGTTGTCTTTAACCACAACATCATATATCCTACAATTTTATAATCACCTAGTTCATTGTCAGTTCTCTCTTTGCATTACATCATTAATTTATCTGTTTGGCTCGATGTTACAGATGGGGTTCCCACACCTGTCATTATAATGTCAAAGCTCAGCTCCAACCAGTCTGCTGGACTCTGCAGTATCACAGTAAACTGCTCCATCCAGGATTATTGGCTTTGGTCTGTTTGTGATGAAGACGGCTGCAGAAGATCTCATAAATCATTCAGTGAGGTCAACATCACCATCTTCACTGAGAACAGAGCTGTGGTCTGCAGAGGCAACAACCATGTTAGCACAAATAAAGCTTCTCAAAGCTTAATGTGTTAGTATTAAGTATTATATTTAAATAACAGGCTTCTGATTTTATTTTTGACAAATAAACTGAATATTTTCTTCTCTCTTTCCTTGTAATTTAAATAATTCGATTTTCATTTGTTATCATAAAAGTCATTTTTTTTATGTCTGAAAAGAAAAAAAATACTAATTGAAACTATGTTTTCATATCTGCAGGTTTCAAATCTAATAAAGATGAAGAGAAATCACAAAAACTCATACTAAAAGGAATACTTATTCCTGTTTCTATATTAATTATCATCGGAGCATTTTTCTTCTTTTTAGTTAAAGCAAAATACAAATCCTACCAGGTGAGATGTATTTGGTAACAGATATTACCATATAACCTGCTCATTCCTAGAATCAGGAAGGTTACTTCTGGTACATGTGATAATATGAATGAATACATATTTTACATCATTATTTTTATGCACAAGCATCTAATGTTCAGGTCATAAGAACACTGCCATTATCTCAGTCTAGAGTCTCGTCTTCCAATGATCCTGGCCCTGTTTATGAGAGCGTGGAC